TGTTGTTGTTGTTGTTGTTGTTGTTGTTGTTGTTGTTGTTGTTGTTGTTGTTGTTGTTGTTGTTGTTGTTGCTGTTGCTGTTGCTGTTGCTGTTGCTGTTGCTGTTGCTGTTGTTGCTGCTGTTGCTGTTGCTGTTGTTGTTGTTGTTGTTGTTGTTGTTGTTGTTGTTGTTGTTGTTGTTGCAATTATGTTGTTATTGGTGTTGTTGTCGTTGTCGCTGTCGTTGTTGACAAACCAAAGTTCAAATCAAACAAACCAAAGCTCATATGTCGAAATTATCTAATCATAATAACTTTGTGTTTAGATCTCTACACGTTTATGTTGGTGTCTGAAAGCATAACATCGCTAGTATTTCCCTATGTTTGGCAACACGTGTATGTTCCAATTCTTCCAGCATCACTCTTACATTTCCTTGAAGCACCTGTTCCGTTTGTTATGGGCTTGTACTGCAAAGACACTGATGACATAGACGCACTTTTGCCTTCAAAGGTTAGAAAACTATATATTTACAGTTGAGTTTCTGTAAGCTTTATAACTCTTACTGGACCTCTTGGGAGAACAGTTTAGAACTGATAGAACTATCCAGTATAAATAAAGTTAGTTTAGTTTAGGTTTCCTCCTGTAGTAACACTGGGTCAATAAGCGATGATCCTTACTGGACCTTTAGGGAGAAGAGTTTAGAACTGATAGAGCTATCCAGTATAAATAAAGTTAGTTTGGTTAGCAAACTTTTGTTATTTATTCAATATAGTCATCACTATGCTGCTTGGATATAAACAATCGCGTTTTAACAGTTCCAGAAGAGTTACCCGAACTACCTTACGCAGAGGAACTCGCCCAGGAACTCTCAGAAGTCCTTGCAAAATACAACAAAAAAGCAAACGGAACTCTCCCAAGCTCGGGCCGGTCAAGTCCTTCTCAGATACCAAGAAAAAAGGCTTCGGATGTCCGGCTGACCGCTCGAAAATCTGTCAAGAAAATAGATGCAATAAAAGCAGGTTTAAGCCATTTAAAAACTAGTAACAGTACCTCAGATTTGTCTATGAGCGAAGGCATTAACCCCAGATTGGCGTCGCTTGAAAAGGTCGCTCAAAAAACGGGCATTCAGATAAACGTGTCAGCGGATACCAAAGAAAAGTCGTCCGCTGATAGGGAATTGGATGCTAATCACGTGGAAGATGCTTTAAAGGGATTGGGGGCTAAAGAATTAAGGCAATTAGAGTTTAATCTTGAAATTCGTGAGATTTTAGTGAATTGGTTTACTCAGGTGTTTTTGTATTACGAAAGTTTTGTGATACATCCGCTGGACAATCAAGATATGGAACAGTGGATTCAGAATCGGGAACAGATGGAGAATTTCGACAAGGCCGCATTTTTGTCCGACCAGCCCGCGACATTTTTGCCGTTCCTAGCGCCTTTTATTGAGACACAAATGTTCGCGTCCTTTATTGATACGAAGTTGATTGGGTGGTGGTCGGAGCCTGATTCGAAGTTGGCTGTTTTTGATCAGAGGATACTTCAAATGAAATACAAGTTGGGCATTGTCAGGTCGCATTCGTATGAACGATGTCAGAGTGTCAAGAGTGCGTGTAAGTATTGGGGTTGTGGGGTGATGGTGGTGATGGTGATGATGATGGTGATGATGATGATGATGATGATGATGATGGTTGTGATGATAATGGTGATCAGGTCGCATTCGTATGAGCGATGTCAGAGTGTCAAGAGTGCGTGTAAGTGTTGGGGTTGTGGAGTAATGATGGTGATGGTGATGATGATGGTGATGATGATGATGATGATGGTTGTGACGATAATGGTGATCAGGTCGCATTCGTATGAGCGATGTCAGAGTGTCAAGAGTGCGTGTAAGTGTTGGGGTTGTGGGGTAATGATGGTGATGGTGATGATGAGGGTGATGATGAGGGTGGTGTTGATGATGATGGTGGTGGTGTTGTTGATTATGATGATGATGGTGATGATGGTGGTTGATGATGGTAATGGTGGTGATAATGGTGATGATGATGATCATGATGATGATGATGATGATGATGATGATGGTGGTGGTGGTGGTGGTGATGATGATGATCATGATGATGATGATGGTGATGATGGTGATGGTGATGATGATGGTGGTGATGATGGTGGTGATGATGGTAGTGGTGGTGATGATGGTGGTGATAATGGTGATGATGGTGATGATGATGGTGGTGGTGATGATGGTGATGATGATGATGGTGATGGTGATGATGATGATTATGATGATGATGGTGATGATGGTCGTTGATGATGGTAATGGTGGTGATGATGGTGATGATGGTAGTGGTGGTGATGATGGTGGTGATAATGGTGATGATGGTGATGATGATGGTGGTGGTGATGATGGTG